AAATTCCACACCTTCTAATCTTAGTTGCCCAACCAGAGTAAGAAGAACAGAGTTCTCAACCAACAGCTGCTGCTTATCGCCCTCGTAATTCGAGAGAGAACATTTCATATCCTCAATATTCTCTTTAACATGATGCACAAATATTTGCTCATTTGCAATCTCATCGTCCAGTTCATTATCTAGACCAATTTCAAGAGCCTTGAACACTTGATGATATATACCCATCCTTAGCTTTTCAATTTCATCTAACAAGAGTTCTGCTTCCACCTGCTGCTCAGGATTTTCACTCTCTAACTCCGAAACCAGTTTCTCCGTCAATTTGGATGCCTCGACATGTTTCTGACACTCCATCAATAGAGTGCAATTCTTTTGTTCCATGTCTTGTATAAACTTCTGTGAAACAAAGATCTCGAACTGGGCATTCATAGCTTTATCAAGTTCTTCGAATTCTTTCTTCCTCCACCTAGTTTCTTCTTGCAAGAGTTGGATATGGTTTTCCAGACAAGCCAATCGTGCCCCACTTGACAATGCAAAACTTGCCCGCTCTTGTTTTTCTACACCTAGAGACACCATTAGTTCTTCCACTTGAGATAGCATGGATTCTTTCTCCTTCTCCTTGCTAGCGTATTTTTGTTCCAATACTACAAATCTCATTTCCAGGTTTTCTAGTCTCTGCTCAACGTTGTCCAACTGAACAACCAAAGTACCTCTTTCAGCAATAAGATTAGACTGGTCATTATTCAGTGACTTGCAGAGTTCTTCTAAGCTCTTTGATTTTTCCCTCAGACCTTCAAGTTCAACATTTGCACCAAAGAGGGAATTTTCAAGAACGGTGTTTTTCTCCAGGATCTTTTGCATATTCTCAGTAATAATTTGTGACAGAGACAGAAGGGCTGCTTTCTCAGAAACAAGGGCAGATTTTTCACCATGTAGAGATTGGCAAGACTCTTGCAATGCCTTGACATTTGCTTGTGACCGTTTCAACTCACTGCTCAAATCTGACAGTGAACTCTCCAAAACAACATTCTTATCTAAACGTTGTTCCATGTTCTCCAATTTCTTGAAAAGAGCTTCTTTATCATCTCTGTCCTCCTTGCAAATCTGTCTCAGCTTTGTGTTCTCATCCTGCAAATCTCTTACGGATGATGTAATACATTTTGGGTTCAAACCTACTGACTCCACTTGCTCCATTAAAGCCTGATATCTCTTATTCCTTGTAGTTTCGATCAGAACCACACTGTTAAGGCATCTGATTTCCTCTTGAGCACAAGAGAGTTCACTCTCCAGCTTAGATATTTTCTCCAAGCAATGCTCATACCGATGTGGCATTTCAGGTCTATGAGGTTCACATTCTGCCATGGTTCGATCGGCCTGGCAGAGCTGCCCCGTTGTGTGATCATACCTTTCCGCCAAGGCATGGTACGCTCGGTAGAACTCCTCAACCAGTTTCATGAGCTCGGGCCGTTTTTTGTAGTACATTTCTGCCCTTCTTGCAAAGGAATCTGCATCTTCTTCAATGAGCATGATCATTGCTGTGACTTTGGCATCCATATCTGTTCGGAAAACCACATGTGGAAGAGTTAATATTGTGGCCTAAAAAAAGGCTTTAAAACTGGCCATCCAATATTTGGGTCACTTAAAATACGATTTCAAACAGGCTGAAATGCATTTATTATTATTAAAACACGGAAAGCATTGGGACCAATTATGACTGGAACTTTTATGACTGTTAAAAACAAAAGACAGATGGATCAAATGACCATTAGATCAATTTTCTTAGAATGCACTGAGGTGATCTACGTGCTCTCATTAATGAATGCAAAGCATCATATGAAAAAACATACAAACTAGTAGGAAATGATATGAAATACAAGAAGCAACTTACTAGACCTCTTGGAAGAAGAGTGTCATTCATGCTGATTTCAACTTTGTAACAAGGTAGCAATAATAGTATAGAAAGTAGGAAAAGATAACATTCGAGGACATATTAATGATCACCCATAAACCAAACAACCGCTAATTGTCATGGACCAAAACCGGAATAATTTATCAAGAGAAAATTAAGAATTTCATATAGGCTGTAGAACCTTAGGTGGGACGCTATAGCATAGAAGCCATACCAAAAAACTTGAAAAATAGAAAAAACGGCGAATAAGACTTCAACTTGACACTAGCATTGTCAGCTCTTTCTCAGCTTGAAAATGAGATACATCCCAATCTGGGAATAAATGGAAACTAAAAATTAAGGAAGGAAGCACCATCAAGAATCATATTTGCATGGGAAAAAGGTTAAAATTTGAAAACACAACAGTAATGCCAATGCCTTGGGTTAAACTGCATTCTGAGTTACTCTGCAAAAACATGGTTCTAAAACTCGATTCTTGGTTTGAACCACATAATCGTGGTTCTAGAAGAGAAATATCACTTGCAAGTATGCAACTTAGGTATTACCTTCTATGTCAAGGAACCTAACAAAGTTCACTCACACTTAAGAGCACGAGATTCAATTGCAAACCTACATCTTATATTATTTGTATGCTAATTGAATTTAATCAACTCTACTCAAAGTTGAGTAATTGGCACAATGGTATCCTTACTTGCTAGAGCTATTTTGATTCAACAAATGTAACCCCACAAATCAAATTTTTTCTTGGAAAAATTATCAATAAGTCCTATTTTGCTCTTAAGATTACCATCGAGTCCTATCAAATTTTATTTTGGACAACTAAGTCCTAGTTTTTATAAAATGTTGCCCAAAAGTTCAATTCTCCATAATGGTGAATTTTATCCCAATTTTACCTTTCTCATTTAATATGAACAACAATTTTAGTTTACTTAAAATTATATATTTTAATTGTACAAATTATGAATATTATATTAACCAAAAATCATAAACAACATTTGGATTGAAAAAACTATAGCATCAAATTTCATCATTTTCTAAAATCCTCCAAAAGCCTTAACTTCAACATATGTTTCTGAACTAACTCCCTCTCCATTGTTGTATGAAGTTCAACCCAAAGCCAATGTCAAAAAGTGTTAAGCCGTTGTTTATGTACTAAATTATTATTTAACACAACAAAATGGTTTCATATCTAATGGACCCCCCTTTTTTTTTTGGCTCACAAGGCTGTCTGGAGCTTCTCCCCAACTAATCCCCCAAGTACATGCAGTCCTCCCATCCCACATATATCAGTAAGTACCGAACCAAAGCCCTAGGAGTAAGTTCCCTCACTTGATAATATAGGGTTTTGCCTCTACTTTCTACTATCTTATAATTTCATGATTCTTTAAAATAATAAACAACATAAAGAAAGGAAAAAGACAAACACGAAAATATTAATTGCAAGCAAAAGACACCAATCCTTAAAAACCAGAAACCAACAAAAATTAAGTGACAAAACAAACACCTTTAAGATTTTCCTGAAGCCATTTTGAATTCTTTGGGCTATTGTGACTGTCCTACCACCAAGAATACAAGTGCCTGGACTCAAAATGCGGCATTGTCGCCATGACTACAGGTAATGGACCCAGGCCAGTATCAAAACTCAGTATTTTCTACCACAATCGAATTTACAACAGCTTTGGAGCTCAGTATTACCTACCCACAAAGGTCATCAAGAAATATCAAAAGCCCAGGTCAGATCTTAATCACCTAACCAATCTTAATCTATAAGCATAGAGGATGAAGAAATATCAACATTTTGTGGTATTTAATAAATTTACAAAGAATAAAATAAGGAAAAAAAAAATCATAATTGCAATCATTTTTTTCACCATAAATAAATATCATAACAATTATTTTTTGGAGAATTGATCAATAAATTTCATATTTCGGTCTTGTGATCCATATAGTCCCAAATGTTTTCTTGTTAACAGTGTAATCCTTTTGACTGGTTGTTTATTAATTTGCCATTGTCAAACTATTATAAAAAATTGTTAATGTAATTATGGGAGTAAGGGTGCCTGTGTTTCACGTTACGGAAAAAAACGTACTAATATTGCTTTAATGTTTCGAAGTATGGGCAAGGCAAAGTAGATGTGCGTGTGTGTGAACATGACGTGTGAGTGTGATTTGGCCCATTTTTGAGGTGTGAAGTCACATAGTGGGGCCCATAGTGACCCATTTGCCGCTATACATTTTCAACCAACCCATTCAATTACACCCATTTCGAAATTTGGTGTTCCAATAGACGGGGTTTGCAAACCACACCGGCTGAGACTGTATGATGTTTTGCGCGGTTCATACATGCAACGGGTTGAAGAACGTGACAATCAGAAGTTGTGGTGTGTGAACGGTAATTGATGTTAACATGCACACAGTAAATAAGCTCCGTTGCAAACATGTTTTCTGCATACATAAATCTGGGGTCCATGTTCACACAATAACCAACCAACAACAACCAAAACCCCCAAATATATGTTCGTGCATACTGACAATAGCCGTAATTTCCACTGCATTCACCATTGACATATGAAAACAATTAATTTCGGACTGCGAAAATCGGCCAGTTGATGAATGGCCACACATGATGCAACCAAACGTGAAGGTGTGTCGAAAGTGTGCCATACCTGAACACGGCCGACTATGTCCACGTCGTCTGCAGAACACTCCTCACCCACCTCGTTAACAAGAATGATTCAAAACCCTAATTCCCCCTTTCGAACCCTTTGTAAACGGAAATTCACTCCCTTCTCTCCGAATCGTGTGATCATATATTCCCAAAAAAAAAAAATTTCCTACTTCAACTACTAACTACTGAGGCAACTCCCATCTATATGGGTAAATTACACTGACACCCGAGGATTATTTTTATTACAGTTCCCCACACCTTTTGGAAATTACATCTCCATCTTTGAGATTTAAAGTTTCATTACAGATTCTCCTCAGCAATTTAATTTTTTTAAATACCAAATTTGCCCTCACTGGGTAAATTACATTGACACCCCTCACATTTTAGAAATTATAATCCCCTCCCTAAAGTTTAAAGTAGTATTATCAATTGCCCCCTCGATTAGTATTAGTTAGAAAAAAAATTCATTGAAAAAAAATTAATTGAAAAAAAATTTTGTTAGTAGAATTTTTTAATTTCTATTTAAAAACCAACATAACTCATTTTTTGAATTTATGTTTTTTTCTCAAATTTACAAACTGAGGCAACAATTTATAAATTAAAAAAAATTATCAAACAAATTTTTATGATAGTTTTTAAAATTTTTGTAAATATAAATTGAAAACTGAAAATGAAATGGTTACCAAACATACCCATTTTAGAAATTATAATCCCCTCCCTAAAGTTTAAAGTAGTATTATCAATTGCCCCCTCGATTAGTATTAGTTAGAAAAAAAATTCATTGAAAAAAAATTAATTGAAAAAAAATTTTGTTAGTAGAATTTTTTAATTTCTGTTTAAAAACCAACATAACTCATTTTTTGAATTTACGTTTTTTTCTCAAATTTACAAACTGAGGCAACAATTTATAAATTAAAAAAAATTATCAAACAAATTTTTATGATGGTTTTTAAAATTTTTGTAAATATAAATTGAAAACTGAAAATGAAATGGTTACCAAACATGCCTCAAATGGTAAAAATGTCATAAAATTTATAAATAATTAAATAAGTTACTAACGTAAGAAATGACTTATCAAAATATTCTTAGGCTATGTATGGTTTGATTTTTAAAAATTAAAAATTAATTTGGTTAAGAAACAAAAAATAAAAAATAATTATCATTTAAGGGTAAAAAATAATTATCATTTGAGCTTTTGGGCAGGTTATATACATACGTACGGCTGTTTCAATTTAATTTGTAAAAAAACATTTCTAACCACTAGAAAGATAAAAATTATACAAAAATGATAATTATTTTTTATTTTATTTTTTCTTAATCAAATTAATTTTTAATTTTTAAAAAAAATTCTAAAAATCAAACCATACATAGTCTAAGAATCTTTTGATAAATCATTTGTTACGTTGGTAACTTATTTAATTATTTGTTAATTTTATGACATTTTTATCATCTAAAAACCTGTTTGGTAACCATTTCGTTTTCAGTTTTCAATTTATATTTACAAAAATTTTAAAAACTGTTATAAAAATTTGTTTGATAATTTGTTGGTTTATAAATGGTTGTCTCAGTTTGTAAATTTGAGAAAAAAACGTAAATTCAAAAAATGAGTTTACGTTGGTTTTTAAACAGAAATTTAAAAATTTTAGTAACAAAATTTTTTTCAATTAATTTTTTTTTCAAATAATTTTTTTTCCAATTAATTGTTTTTTTTCAATGAATTTTTTTTCCAACTAATACTAACCGAGGGGGCAATTGATAATGCTACTTTAAACTTTAGGGAGAGGATTGTAATTTCTAAAATGTGAGGGGTGTCAATGTAATTTACCTAGTGAGGGCAAAATTGGCATTTAAAAAAATTAAATTGATGAGGGGGGAATCTGTAATGAAACTTTAAATCTCAGGGAAGGAGATGTATTTTCTAAAAAGTGAGGGAGAGAACTATAATAAATATAAATCTCAGGAGGTGTCAGTGTAATT